CCCCGTACAAGACACAAAATCGCCACACAAAAGCAGTCAACTGGTACTCCAGATTTTTGTGGGCACCATGGAAAAATGTTTTTTTTTTTTAAACAAAGATTTTAATAAGAACAGAAAAGTGGTTCTGTATTTACAAGGAGCTCTTCTCAAAAGCAAGGGGAAACATGAGATAAAGCACAGAGAGATCTATTAGTTTAGCAACATATTCTCTTGAATTTTTTGCCTGATGGCTTACTAACTGCAATAAAACTTGCTAAAGACTGCAAAACCAATTCTGACAAAGTAATTGAGGCCAAAGTCAGTTAGATTTTGGATGGGTATCAACGGATCACTTTTTGGGACACAATCAGCGTTCCATGGTCCAGATTAGCCCTCTGAACTTTGATAAAGTAGAGATGAAACATCTATCAGCACTGAAAATTTAAGCTAAAGACAAAGATGATTTCAAACAGTCAAATACTAAATACATGAAAACCCCTTTTTTTCCCCCAGATGAAGCTCATGGCCTACTTTCCTTCCAATTAGCCTGTCCCTCTATACTTGCCTCAATTGTCTTCACACACACAAAAGCCCAGAGCTGAACAAACATGAACTGTCAAAAAAGCTGAAGGGTTCCAATGCCTAAAACCTACTTAGTTCTAAACCTGCAAAACCTGATCTAGAACAACCTTAACCCAAAAGATTTTAAGATACTAAAGCTTCCTGATGCCTAAATTCACAATTCTGTTCTGTTCCAACTTTCAGAGCATTGGGTGGCTTGATGCTAGCTCACAAACAAATTGGAATACAGGAACTCAGAACTCTTCTGCGTAGCTCATCACATAAAGAGCTCAGTTTAACAGGCATTTTTAATTCCTAACAGAAGAGAGCTCCATCCACTTTTTAAAGCGCAAACCAATTCTGTCTTGCATAAACGTGGGCTCCTGGGAGAGGGAATAGTATGTCTTGTCACTACATAATAGCACAGTGGTTAACTCGGTTGACAGAGATTAGATATGAACTTCCTGAGGTACAAACAACAGGCAAAAATCTTTAACTTCCCCAGTAACTATTAGTCACTACCAGTAGCTATGCTCTACTGGAGGCTAGCAGAAGTAACTTTGCTTGCTATTTTAAAAATGAGAAGTAGGTGCTCTGATCAGAAGTGCTTGGCTTCAGGAGAAGGCTCAAGGCCAGGGATCCAAAATGAGGAGATGCTTCCTTGCAGCCCCGACTGGACACCTGAACTTAAAACACTTCTCTCTCTTCAGCTGTTCTGTTAGCTGAGAGTCACAGCAAGCTGAATACACTGACTTTGTAGTCAGCTTCCTGCTCATCATGTTCATTGCTGTGAATCCTGCTCTGATGCAATAAACTTTTCCATGCATGCTAGAGAGAGCCCACAGACCACAGAATGCTTCATTTCAACAGTTACGTGCCAAAAAGAAAGGCATCACAACTCTGTGTGCTTTATCAGATACCATCCAAGTTAACTTTGCACAGGCAGTCCAGAACAGCAGCTGCAAAAAAGGAAGTGCAACTTGCCGTTTGAAGTCACAGACTAAAAGTTGTTTACATGCAAAAATTATATTGTTAACACTTCTGTGGGTCACCTAATGCAAATACTTCTTGATTTTCTATAGATGCAATCAATATTCACTTAGGTTATAATTGTTTCTTGTATGATTTCAGTAATTCAATGTACGCAATGAAGGGATAAGTACACAAGAAGGCTTTACTGGTTTTTTGGCAAATAAATTTGAGTTAAAAAATACAACTTTCTCAAACAAGTCTGATTCAAAGATGCTGTTAACTAACTCTCAATTTCTTCCTCATAAACCATAGGTGATTTTCAGTTTTAAAACCTGCAAAACAGAAGTCTTCAAATGACGTTTCAGATTAGAAGGGGTATTTTTTCCTCAAGTCCAGCTATTCAGCATTTTGTTATGCTGAAACTAGGGATATCTTGACAAACAGGCTTCCATCCCAGCTGTGGACAACATATCATGCTCAGTATTTCTACAGGTTTTCTTCTGGTAGCTCAGTCTCATGATATAAGCCCTGCATTTTGGGGCAGTCTTTCAGGTCATGGTGAGACCCATGTTAACTTGCATTAATAAATCTGCAGCCACATATTGAAAAGATTAATCTTAACACACGCTGCACTACTAAACAGAAAGAAAATCCCACTCAAGCTAAATGTTCTTATGCACACCTCCTAAGCAGAACAACTTCATTTCAAATCAGGAGCTCTATGCCTACTTTTTGGTTTTGTGTTTCAAGAGCTTCCTATCAGATGGGTCTTTAAAAAACACTCTACAAAGAGTGAGACTTACAGAATCAGGCCCTAAGTGGAATTACTTTTCAGAAATGCTAAGTCAGCAAATCTTTCTGAAGACTGAAAAAAAAATGAAGCCATTAAAAAACATAGAGAAAGAGATCAACAGAAAGGGATAGAGCACACGCAACAGACAGAGACTATCTCCAAGCTCACCTATCCTTGTAGTTTATCACAGTATCAATGATAGCATTCATTTGTTTTGTCAGTTTGGGTGGGTTGGGTGACAACTTCTCTGCGGGAGGTCTGCCTCTTCTTTTCTTTGCTTTCTCTCCATCCTCCTTCCCAGAATCTTTATCCACATTTCTTCGTCTCTTCCGTTTTTTAAGCCGAACTTCCTCTTCCATTTCTTCCAAATTGCCGTCTTCAATTGCCTGACAACCATGGATTCAAAAAGTATGATTTTTCAACAAAACAGATATTGCGAAGAGAAATAACAAACTGTATTTGAAAACAAAAACACAACCCTACAGGATGCAGGTAATTCAACTCAAAACATTCAGCTTACTTATAAACAAGAGTACAACAAGAAATTGAGATACTGGCAATCAAAGAGACAGTAAACATTAACTTCTTCTAAGAATCCCCTATCATCTAAATAGATGCATATTTATCTAAACCTTGAACTCCACATCAACTCAGTTTTCACACACAACAATGGCCTGAGGTACTGTGACAGTAAGTGTACAACAAACATTTATTCGTTCACGTCAGTGGCAGTTCTGGCTTACGTAGTTCCATGCAAAACAGACTTTGATATCACATGGTTTTCAAACAGGACAGTCTAAACTGCGCTCGGCTCCCCAAGCCAGATCACACACGGTTCTTCATGCACACAAATAACACACAGACATTTTTTGCAGTAATGACTCAACTTGTCTTCCAAATAGTTTAAGCAACTTCCAAATCGCCTAAGCAATAAAACCATCTCTAAACCATATCATTTTCTTCTAGAATAGTAACCAACAGGCAGAAGCACTGACAGTACAGTGTTTTACTGTAAAAGGCACTCATAAAATGGGATTTAAAAAAACCCAAACAAAGCACCAAACTCCACACACATTCACAAACAACAAACACAGGTTTCAATTACCTGGATGTATGCTTTTAACCAGACCCAGCAGCACTATGCAGAGGGATAAAAAAAATTGCAACAAAAAAACAAACTAGGAATAAAAGGAACCTGTTCACACAATGACTATCAGACCCATGTGATAAAGCAAGACGTTGAACTTTTCTTGATTTGGGAAAGCCAACAAAAGAAAAGAAATAAAAATACTGGGTCATAAGAGAACTGAAATGACAAACAAAACAAAAATAAAACCACAAAAAAAAATCTTAAAAGTAGACTTTCTGATTAATGCTTTCTCAGAACATAACTGATGTTGATATTTGTCCCTTTGCCTCTCAATATTGCCTTGAGTACATGCAAATGCTAATCAATCCTTTCTCATAGCTGAAAGAGCTCTAATCATAAGGCAATTACCTTCATTTCTCCACAGCACCAAACATGGCTAATATTTATGATCATGTGAGCATAACAATCAATATAAAAAGAGTGATTACAGCCCAGACATAATTTTTCTCAATTGTGTACAGTGTCTCTTGAAAAACATTTCGTGAACAAAACCTGATGCACAACACAAAACAACCTGGCATGTTAAAAACACCAGTGGGATTTCAAAATCTGTTTCCTACGCATCCTCCGATGTGCAAATCCACAGAACAAACACGAATGCAGAATCCTGAGGGACAGCCTGAAACCAGGCCTTAATAATCAAAAGACAATTTACATCATGCTTCCACAGCGTTCAGATAACCACTATGAAGGAGGCTTGAGATCTGATGAGTAAGGAAGAAAAAAGGAAAAAAAAAAAATCATAATCTGCACACAAACTCATTAATATTCATTTGGATAAAGCAGGACACCCACTAAAACCACTGCAGCTAATGAAGATTAAGAAAAGGAAATTTCTCTGCATTTCTTGGAAGCTAGAAAACCTAATAATAAATACAGCATGCAAGGCTGTCAACAGTTAATGTCATTGCTCTCCTTAAGCACTCAGTTGTACACCGAAACACGGAGAACACCGACTTTTGATGTGTTACACACCTACACATGCCTGTGATGTAGTTCTACTGAATCTTCAAGACGGCAATGAAAAAGGATATTTACCTTACCACTATCAGCAGGCCGGCTATCGGAAATCACAGTTAGTGGGGATAAAATTAACAAGCCAGCAAAGCAGCGAGCTGCTAGTCTCTTCATCAGCTGATCAGGAAAAAAAAGAGAGCTGGGGAAAGGCTATGTTTTCATACACAAGTAATTTTATTTTACTGAAAATTTAATACTGAAAGGATTGTGGATACTCAAATCTGCTGTTTCATTCTACGTACTGCAAGGCCCAAAGCCTTCCTCCTTCAGCCTGCTTTAATATTGACAACCACTTATCATATTTCTCCTCTTATCGGCATTCAGATTAGATTTTTAGCTGGGCAGTTACGGATTCTTGTTAGCGTTTTAACAAGACAATTAGACAATTTCACGTGTGATTTTAAAACTGAAATATGTTGCGTGCATTATAAAAATGTATTTATTACAGAAAATGTGTTCCTATTGCTCCACTGTGAACATCAGGTTTTAGTTACTTAAACTGATAAAAAAAATCTTCTCTGATTTACAAGAAATTAAAAAAAAACCAAATCAAACCAAGTTACAATTTTGTTAACTTTGATAGCATTTTGTTGTCTTTCAGAAAACTGGTACTCATTTAACTAAAATATATTTATATTTTTGTTTGCTTGACAAATTTTCTATCACCAAAAAAATGACAGTGAACAGAGTTTACTAGCATCTCAGTTTAGAATTCTGCATAAAATTCTTGCTTGGAGTAGGTAGTATTTTGGAAAAAAAATATCAGGACAAAGAAAAGGTAAAAGTAAGATTTTTTTTTTAACATTACATATAGTAACGCAGTAAAGACAAAAAAAACCCCAAAACACAAGGAAACTAACATATACTCTTGCACTCTTAAAATTAGTGACTAGCAGAGAGTAAATTAATTCTTAGCACACTACAGATGTATAAACAAGTATTAAACAGTCTACTTAGCTAATATCAATTGATTACTATACTGAGCTTTTAAAATTTATATGCATTAACGTAAACTCGGATGAATTTTCCGTAATTTAAGACTTTAGTGACACCACCTGAAAATCAGTGTGACAATACCTGCAGTCCACAAATGTTATTGTGACTCCTAACATTAGCTCTCAAGAGGCAAATTTATGTTTTGTATATAAACGGTAACATTTAAACTGATATGATTTATGCTGCCTTAAAAGATGGCTTAAAACTGTAACATATAAATCAATCATCAGCAGAGATATTAATGCTCTGTGGATATGTCCACACATATGATTCATACATGTGTGCATGAGTAGCAAAATATTTATTAAACTAATTAATCTGGCTGAGCTCTCTCTTAGAAAAGCTTATTATTCTAGGGCTGAAGAGCCACACCAAAGAGAATATCCTTCCAAACATTTACCAGTACAATAATGGTACAAATCCCAGACACAAATCTCCAGTTCCTGACAGATGATGGGCTGTTCGAGAGTGTAAGATAGCACACAGACATCTCCCATGCTCAAATACCTCTGGATTAGTAAGGTGAACAGCAAGGGAGTCAAGAAAAATAGTACACAAATAAAAAAATTAACACTTTCCTTCCCTTAAGGAAACAGGACAAAAGAGTAAAATAAAGTTTGGAGACTTCATTTTTTGAAAGCAAGCTGTGAAAATTTTATGTCAAATTTTGCAAAGGTTTGAGCACCTCATGAAAGGCAGAGATGCCAGTGGAAGTATGAGGACCTAACGTCAAGTCCGGTACTGACAAAAATCTTCTTGCTTTTCTGAATCTAATTGCTATATCCTGGTCCGTGTACACCGAACAATTTCCTTTTAAAGAGCTAAGAGCAAATAGGCTTCCCAGGGCACCAGAATTTTAAAACAGAGCATACTGACTATAGATTAAAGAAATCATAGAATCATAGAATGGCATAGGCTGGAAGGGACCTCAGAGATCATCTAATCCAACCTCCCTGTCATGGGCAGGGACGCCTCTCAACTAGACCAGGCTACTCAAGGCTCCGTCCAACCTGGCCTTGAACACCTCCAGGGAGGGTCCAGGGAGGGGCCATCCACAACCTCTCTGGGCAATTCATTCCAAAGTCTTACCACCCTCATACTGAAGAATTTCTTCCTCAGATCTAATCTAAATCTGTTCTCCTTCAACTTAAACCAATTTCCCCTTGTCCTATCAGTGGACACTCTTGTAAAAAGTCCCTCCTCAGCCTTCCTGTAGGTTCCCTTCAGGTATTGGAAGGCAGCTATTAGGTCCCCCCGAAGTCTTCTCTTTTCCAGGCTGAACAATCTCTCGCAACCTGTCCTCGTAGCAGAGGTGCTCCAGCCCCTGGATCACCTTTGTGGCCCTCCTCTGAACACGCTCCAACGAATTTGTGTCTCTCTTATGGTGGGGACGCAGTATTGAAGGTGGGGTCTCACAAAAGCATAGTAGAGAGGGAGAATCACCTCTCTTGACCTGCTGACCACGCTTCTCTTGATACATCCCAGGATGCAGTTGGCCTTCTGGGCCGCATAAGCACACTGCCAGCTCATGTTGAGCTTCTCATCTATAAACACCCCCAAATCCTTCTCTTCCGGGCTACTCTCAACCCACTCTGTGCCGAGTTTGTATTTGTGCCTAGGATGAAACTGTCTTCCTCCTAAAAGAAGTGTTGCCTTTGATCCCCACCAAAAAACCCCAGAAGTGGATTTTTCAGAAGACAAGTTAACTTCTTAGACAGCTGGCCTGCCTACTGCTGCTTGCAATTGCATTTTCCTCTTCGTGAAGGAAAATAGCTATTTTGAGGTGGAAGTATTCTTAGTGAACATGGATACAGCTAGAGGAGCAACACAGAAATGGAAACTCTTTTATTTCTCCATTTGAAGAGCAGGACCTTATGGACGCATTCTTAACTTCCTGAGAGCATGACACAGCACCAGAACTGAACACTTTTCCACTTAAGAATTACGGACCCAAATTAACACTAAGAGCTACAGCTCTGAGTTTTGTGTCACAACTGCTTCTGCAAGTCAACACTCTCTGTTAGTCTTGTACTAGTTTTAAATTCTTTTTACAGGAATCAGGTAACTCAAGTGTGGTCACACAGTGAATCAATGATGCTGCTCGGCATAAAATGAGTTTTCACGTCTGAGGGCTGTCGCTAATATGTAGATGACACAACATTGTAAGACATAGTTATTTTTCCTTTGATTGAGGTAACTATAATATTGTTACGAGAAAGTTAA